GATCCAGGCTGGTGTCAGAACATTCACCACTGCCCAGGAGTAACAAGGACACGTAACCCCTGCAGTGTAAACTGAGACAGTGTGAAGAAGAGTAATGAGGCATCCCTTCCCAGCCAGGTGGGCACTAGCAGAGATCTAGCGGGGAGCTGAAAATCCCACTTCCACCCAGCAGTAAAGAAAGGCCCCTTTTTAACTCCAGTGTCAACAAAACCCAAGTGGGATCCTAGACTTCCATCTCACCTGGCAGTAACAAAGCAGCCACTCCTTATCCTGACAGCAGTCTCAAACCAGGCCTGCTAAAACAGAAGATTTAAATAAAATCTATGGTTTCATAGATAATACCCAAGATGTCCAGGTTTCGATCAAAACCACTCAAAGGACATACCAAGAACCAGCAAAATCTTAGCTTGGATGTAAAAAGACAATCAACAGATTGACAACACGGCAGTGTCACAGATACTAGAATTGGCCAATGAAGATTTGAAAGCAGTCATCATAAAAATGGTTCAGTGAGCAATTATGAACACACCTAAGATAAATGAAAAAAAATGTTCTCAGCAAGGTTAACTGAAGATATAAAGAACAAAATAGAAATTTTAGAACTGAAAAATATAATCATCTAAGTGAAAATCTCAATGGATGGGCTCAACTGCAGAATAGGAGGGACAGAGGACAGCATCAGTGAACTTGAAGACAGAACAACAGAAACTATACAACTCAACAGTGAGAAAACAGAGTAAAAAAGAAAGAGAAAAAAGAGGAAGAGTCTCAGGGCCCCGTGGGACTATAATTAAAGATCTAACATTCACGTTATTGAAGTCTGGAGGAGTGGAAAGGGGGGTGCGGCTGAGAAAATAATGGCTGAAAATCCCCCAAATTTGGCAAAGAAGCTGAGTAACAAGAAAAGCCCAGAGAAAATCATGCCAAGACACATCATAGTCAAGTCTAAGAATTAAAGACAAAGAAAAATTATTGAAAGCACAAAGAGAAACACCTTTTCTACAGGGGTGTCGGGGGAGGGCGTTAGGGAAGGGGGTGGAATTGAATGATAGCAGATTTCTCATCAGAAACCAAGGAAGTAACATAATATTTTTCAAGTGCTGAAAGAATGGTCAACCCAGAATTATATCTATCCAGTGAAAATATCCTTCAGTATAATAAAGGGGAAATTAAGATATTGACACATGAAGGAAAATTGAAAACATTTATTATCAGCTAATCTCTAAATGAATGACTAAAGGAAGTTTTCTAAAAAAAATGGAAATGGGGCCGGCCGAGTGGCGCGGTGGTTAAGAACTGGCTTGGGACGCCAGAGGGCCCCGGTTTGGATCCCACATATGAGGGCCAGTGACACTGCCCTCCACAGCTAAGATGCTGAACAACAGCTCAACCTGGAGCTGGGCTGCCGTGAGTCGCTGGCGATGGCGTAGGCTGCAGACCCTGCTACAGTGGGTTTCCATGGGCTACTGTGTGTAGCCAGCAGCCAGTGTGAGCGGCCAGCAGCCGCTGTGAGCGGCCATCCAGAAGCCTGCGACTGATCTACCTCACCCGGGAAGAGCGCAATGATGGTGCCAACTTGGGCCAGTGAAGCAACGTCCTCCACAACTAGACTGAAGAACAAAAGGACAGCAACTTGTCTGTTCCCATCCCCCAATTAAAATCTTTAAAAAAAAAATGGAAATGATCAAAGTAGGGATCTTGGAACATCAGGAAGGAAGAACATTGTAAAAAATAAAAATATGGGTAAATACAACAGATTTTTCTCCTCCTCTTGAGTTTTCTAAATTATGTTTGACACAAAACTCATGACACTGTCTAACATGGTTCTCAACATACACAGACAATTATATTAGAGATGGCAGAGGGTAATGGGATATAAAGGGAGGTTAGGCTTCTACACTTTAAATTGGTAAAATGTGGATACCAGTAGACTGTGGTAAGTTTTGTGTATACAACATGTAGAGCAAACCACTAAAAGCTATATGAGGAGATACACTCAAAAATATTACAGATAAATCAAAATGGTATTCTCAAAAAATGTTCAAGTAACCCACTTGAAGGCAGGAAAAAGAAACACAAAAAGAAAAAAACAGAACAGAAAACAAAACAAAAATGGCTGACTTAACCCCTAACATATCTATAATTACAGTAAATGGGGACAGTCTAAAAACACCAGTTAGAACATAAAGACTGACATCAGAATGTCAGATAGAGTAAACTTCAAGGCTAAGAAAATTACCAGGTACAGAGAGACATTACGTAACAATAAAAGAGTCAATCCACCAAAAAGACTCTTGGATCCTAACTGTGTCTGCACCAGATGACAGAACTGCAAAATGTGTGCAGCACAAACAGACAGAGCTGAGAGGAGACACAGGCAACCCACAATTCCAGTGGGAAATTTCAACGCCACTCTCTCAACAACTGGGAGAACAACTTGACAAAAAGTCAGCAAGAACATAAGAACCTGACAATACCACCAACCAACAGAATTCTACCAACACTTACACTCCACCCAACAGAACACACATTCTTTTCAAGTGCTGACAGAACACACACCAAGACAGGCCACCATACCCGGGACCACACAAACGTCAACACATTCTAAAAGCCATGAGGTATCACTGCTCACCTACTAGAATTGCTGAATAAATAATAAATATTTATTATTAAAAAAATAAGATATGGTATCAAAGTTGGATGAGAATGCAGGGAAACTCTCTCTCCTAGATTATGGGTGGGAATGAAAAATGGTACAGCTACTCTAGAAAACAGTTGGACAGTTTCTTAAAAAACAACAACTTATCACATAACCCAGTACTGACACTCCTGGGCATGTATCCCAGAGAAATGAAAACTAATGTTCACACAAAATCCCGCTTACAATTGTTCAGAGCAGCTTTATTAGTAATAGCCCCAACTGGAAAAGTCAAGATATGCCTCAGTAGGTGGTTACAGAAAATGTGGTCCGTGAACATCACAGAACACTCTGTCAGCAGTAACAAGAACTGCTACACACAACTTGGAGGGACGGCAAGGGGCTTCTGCTGAGTGGGGAAAAGCCAGTGTCTGAGGCCATGCACCATAGGGTTCTATTTATCTATCGTCTCTAACAGGGATGCTACAGGTCTGGAGTGGGGAGGTAAGGGGATGGTGTGGCTACAAGGGAGGTGATGGGATGATTCGGCATGCTGGCTGTGGCTGCAAGGATAAACTGACATGGAACTATACTCACATATTGTACCAATGTCATTTTCTGGTTCTGATCTGGTCCTAGTTATGTGAGATGCAAGCACTGGGGGGATGCTGGATGAAGGGAACAGCACTGCAAGTTAAAAAAAACACACTTCTAAATAGCTGAACGTTTGTTTTTTCATCCCTTCTCCTATCTTCTTAGAAAGGCAGTACTATGAACCACACAACTTCATGCTCTGCACACGGTTATTCGACTGGCGTGGGACAGGATAAGAGCCAATCACAAGTGGGACTGAGGCAGTCAGGTTCACTGTTCAGAATCTGACCCGATAGACACTGGCCATCCACGAAGGGCCCCCAAACTTGAAAGTCCTGGGACAACAGGCTCCTAACCGGTCCCTGGAAAGTCCGAGTCCATGGAGGTCATGAGGTCACAAGGTAAGCAGCAGAAACCATCAGGCTCCCATCTGTAAGAATGCCCACTGAGATTTCCTTTAAGAACTGATTTGGGTGGTGAATGGTTTCTGCTTCTTGTAACCATGGTTCCTGGCTAACATGTGCTTTGGAAAGGGAGCTAAAAAGGTTAAGCTTCTTCTGCATCATAATTTGCTATGTGCCTGTCCCTATACTCTTGAAGTTCAAGGCAGCTATCATCTGCACGCTAATCCTCATTTCACCTGACTCCCCTAGTCAGTGAGACTGGAGCTGGAAGGGAGGGAAAGGCGTCAGGTCTCCACTACAGGCTGACAAGCGAGCCCACACATGCAGAACACTCATCTACAACAGCTTCCACCCACGCAGGGTTCCAATGCCATGTCAGGGGCCTGGAATTCCAGGGATGGAGTCCTCTTGAACACAACTTCACAAATAACCTGGAGGTTGGAATTCATTCATTCACCTCTAAACCTTTCTCTTTTTTTAAATTTTTTAAATTGTTTCAGGTGTACAGAACAATGCAAGTTATCCTTTTCACCCCCACAAACCCCCCTCCCCCATGTAATCATGCTTATCTATTACAATTCCATTGACTCCATTCCCACTCTCTACTCCACATCCTGTGACTATATATATATATATATATATATATATATATATATATATATATATATATATATATATATATATATATATATATAATTATAGTTGACATATATTATTATTCAACATCAGCTTCAGAAATACAGTGCAGTGGTCAGGCCTCTACACCGACTATGAAGTGGTCTCCCCAACAGGACATGAGTCCATCTGGCCCCCTAAGAAATATTTACAACATTATTGATTATATTCCTCAGACTGTCTTTTCCTATCCCTGAGGCCATATTGTAATTACCAATTTGTATTGTCTCGTCCCTTCCCCTTCTCCTTCATCCCCACCCCCTCCCAACTAACAACCCTCAGTTCTTCCTCTCTCTAAATCTTTCTTTATTGAAGGGGGTGGAGTGTAGGATGTGCAGAGGGGCTGCAGTGTCTCAGGACCCAGGGCAAGGACCCCACCTACTGACTCGGGTCCAGACAAGAGTCCCATCATGGCAGCAGCAGTCACTCAAGGCCTGGTGGGAAGGAAGCTGACAAGGGTCACATGAGGCCAAGTCACCATGTCCTCACACCCTGGGCTAACCCCCATTTCCGTTCTCCCATCTCAGAGCCCCAGCACAGTGCAGAGCAGAAGCGACATTGGCACCAGGATGCCTGGGTTCTAGTCCTGCGTCTGCCACTTCTGTTGTGTGACTTCCTTGTGCCTCAATTTCCTCACCAATACCTACCCGTGGCACCAGGCATCAGTGCAATGACCACAGGCACTCCCACAATATCTCAGCTTTTATTTTCAGTACTACCTCATTGGGTGGTTACCAAATAAACATGGGAAGTCAACTGCAAACAAGCTAGAGCAATGCACAGTTGTTTTTATTAATTGTTTTTGCTAATGTCAGAACAGAACCATCACGGCGGCTCAGTCTATAATCCATCCAGCCCAAGGCTGCTCCAGTCAGGGGGTCCAAGAACAGACAGGTCTCCCTCCACCAGCGGCCTGTTCTCCAAGCATAAGGACATCTCTCCCAGGGCATCAGTATGCATCTGTCATCCAGGAATTTAACTCGAGCCTTCTTGATCCTTCTACATTTTCGGCCAGACGTACCCGTCTGAGGTTGTAGGCTGCAGGTCGGCTATGTAATGGGTAGAGGAAAGCTTCCTGTTACATTTCAAGTAGTATCGTTGCAGAAGACGTGTGGAATTGGGGTACATGACTAAAGACTTCAGCGACTTCCCTTTAGCCTGTCCTTCCAAGGTGAAAAGCATCCATGTTCTCACAAGTCCCCTTCTCCAGTTCTGGCATTCTGCAGGGTGTACAGCCCAGGCCTAGGGAAGTCACCACGGGAAGTGTATGAGGATTTACATGAAGGCAGGACAACGCTGAAGTTGTTCCTCTGGCCCCAGCACTCATGGGGTCAGCATCTCAGAGGCAGTCCTTCTAGCGCTGCCTACAGGAACGCCTGGTCAGGACCCTCCACTTGTCCCAAATGAATCCTGAAAGCATCACACAGTCTTAATCTACTGTCCTCGGGTGCTGCTGCTGTGTTATTATCCTACTGTGAAGTTATCAATCCCCTGACCCATGGATGTCTCTTTCAGAGTTCATAGCTTCCTCAAACGCACTAAACGCCTCCTGAATTTCAGAAAGCAGTTACCTACCAGTTAATTAAGATTACAGCCTAACTCTGCGTGAATCACCAGAGACCAGCTCTGCAGGAGTCAGGGAGGGAGGGTATGGGGTTGAAGGTGTCCTCTCCCCTGCCACCCCCCATCTGTCTTGCTTGAGACTCCCACACACTGTGCACCCCTCCTGCCTGCCACTCAGACTGGCAGCTGAGGCTCCTGGATTGAACGCAGGTGGCCTGGTGTGAATATTCGGTGCATGTGGGTCAGGATCCTGGACCACAGTTCTGGCCATGGTATGCTGTGGGCCCTCCTTGCCCACAGATACTGAGCAGAGTTCCACTTGGGTTGCCTGACTGATCACCGTGGCTGGAAACATGGACGAGAGTATGGACGAGAAGGGAGCCTGCCCTGGGTGGTGGGTTCTACACCAAATCTAAAACTACCTTTGCACACAAGTATTGTGAAGGGGAGGAGGGGCTCTGAGCTCCGTCTTTCACGATCATGTCTCCAGGAGCCTCCACCTCCGGCCCAGGCTGGCACCAAGAGCCCTGCACAGTGGCATCGATGCCAATCACTTTCCCACTTCTAGGCGAGCAGACAAAAGTCACAGGGGACAGAAACAGAAACACTGAAGCATGGCCTCTGTCATCTTGATGCCCAAGCTTCCTGGGACAGCCCACACATTAACTTTCACCTCCAAGCACTGGAGACAGGTTGCGGGGGGGGGGGGGGGGGGGGGGGGGGGGGGGGGGGGCACCTTCCCCCATGACATGGCAAATTCTTCTCCTCTCCAGAATCAACAGTTCCTTAGGTGCCAGATGCAAAGCCCCAAGCCCAGGTCATTTTCACCGCAGAACCTCCTGGCATGTCCTTGAGGCCACTTCAGCTGCTGTCTCATGGCTCTTCTTCAGCCTTTCTGGGCCCGCAGGCTTTCTGTAGGCAGAAACTGCCCAGAGCATGATGAAAGAGAAAGGGGCCAGCCTCCATCTCCTGGAAGCTGCTGCTCCCCACATGTAATGGCTGAGGGACTCAGATAATGGCCCAGTTCTCCTGGCCCTCTTGTGGGTCTGAAGAGTTCTGGTCTCAGCAGGCTACTAGGAGGCAGCTGCACGAGAAGCACGGTCATCTGGTGCTAACAGCTGGCCGGAGGACCGGGCGACCCCGAGCCTCAGCCAAGGGATCTCAGTCCAATTTCCTGCAGCCCCGGCCACGTACACACCTCCCAACTTGGCACAGGGGCAGCACCGACTTCCAAAAGGCGCTCCTTTCTGAAATGCAGCAAGCAGTCCAACACTGCTTCTCAGGGCAGGTGACAGCTAGTGCTAGAAGAAGGGCCTCTAGTCCATGTATGGCCGGGTCTGCCTAGGAGCTGGGGAGTCTGGGAACCAGACCGGCAGAGGCTGCGGGGCGACACCCCCCTTGCCGGCACCATATCACTTAGCCCAACAGTTTCACAAGACCCAGAGGCCCGACCCCGAAGACAGTTGGCAGGGAGGTCAAAACAAGTGGCTATGAGGTCTCCTGACAAGTGGACAGCTCAGCAGGACAGCACACGCGCCCAGGCTCACTGTGCAGCAGCCATCACTAATCAGGTAAAGGACAACGGTCGCATGGCGTCTTCAGGGAGCTGGCGGCAGGCGCTGTGGTGGGAGAGGTTTGAACAAGGGTCAGAACTCTGCCAGGTTAACACAGCCAGACCCTGAGCCCTCACCCCACTCCTGAGAATTTACGCCAAAGTAATTCTCTATAGGGAAGAGGTAGACTGGGGGCACAAGGGTGTGTGTGGTCTCAGAACACAGAGGCTACATCAGACACCCACCTATACCACCTTCTAGGCCAATGACTTACGCTCTTGAAGCCCCCTTTTCCTCATCTGTAAGATATAGGTGACAGCACCTACTCCCCAGGTGGTTGTGAGGTGACATGAGACAATCTGCATAAAGCACCTATACGGCTACAATGGTGAGCTCCTATTATTATGATGAGGCCAGGCTAAGAATGCAAGGAAAGGACAGATGAATGCTATGGGTGACAGAGCTGAAGGCAAGTTTTCCCTGCTTGTTCTGACGTCATCACTTCTTAGGTCTGTCCACTTTTTAGGTGTTGTGGAGAATGCCATGAACGGCTGAGCCCTGCAGCTTAGGGAGATGGAAGCAAGGTAGAGAGAGTGGGCCTTTCCCCACCAAGGTTCCCCCACCTCTCTGGATCTCACCTTTGGAAAAGGCCTGAGGACTCAGAAAGCAGTAAAGAGGGGAAGGCAGAGGGCACAGCAGAGGCGGGCTGAGGAGGGCCTGACAGTCAGAACTGGAAAAGAGGCTGTGCACAGATGCTCTCTCTGCCCTGGGTAGGAATACACCTGACAATGAGTTTGTTCCCCAAGGGCAGCTGCAAGGCCACGTGGCCAGAGAGGGCAAAGACCTGAGGACCATGGGCAAGGGTCCGTTCTCAGGACCCTGATGGAGGCATGGCAGTCTCATGTCCCCTTCCTCTTTACTGCAGCGTCTCACCTGTAAGGAGCTGGAACAGTCCAGCTCCATGAAGAAAACACACAGTAAGTACCCATCAGTGCAGAAATGAGAAAGGAGACTAAGTGCCTCAGACAAGTCTAGTTGGTGTTTACAACCTTTCTTTTTAAATTCATTCCACCCATAAATATTGCAGTGTGTAATAAAAAGATTATTTTTTCAAATTTAAATACCATTATCACACATAAAAAGGCTAACAATTCCTTAATATCAACAATTACAGTGTTCAAATTTCCAATTGTCTCATAAATGTCATAAATGGGTGGTTTGTTTCTCACCCTTTAGAAACTCACCTTCCAAAGCCTGAGTAGATTCTAGGAGTCCTTACTAATCCCACCACAATAATCACCGCCTCACTAGACTAGATGAGAAAACCAAAGCCCAGAGAGGTTGAGTGATTTGCCCTGGATCACACAGCTCGCTGAAGACGGAGGCCCTGCTGACAGCCCTGTGCTTTCCCTGGTATCACACTGTCTGGCAGCCTACACACACATGAAACTGTCAGCTTTCGAGGTGGCAAATCCTAATCTAATAATACCTCCTTTGTCTGTAAGAAAAGAACCACCACTAGAACCCTAATCTTAGTAAGAATACACCCATTTTATTGAGAGAAAAACAACTCTCACGTTCATACCGCCGGATAGCATCACACCTTGACCTATTCTGTGCCTCCAGTTAGCCCCGAACCAGGACTCTCGGTGACCTCTGCTCCCAACACTGAGCAGCCCCCGGCCACAGCGAGCAGAAGGCCCACCCAATAGAGGAGGGTGTCCCCTGGTGGGGATCTGGTCCTAGTTGTCATCAACGTGCCATTGGCAAAGGTCAGGCCTGCCTGGAAATAGGCCCCCACACTTGTAGGTGGTTTCCATTGAACTATCAAGGAACTGATCATTTCTGTGCCATGTAAATGTCTTAGCATGTGAGAAGAAAACAAAGCACTTCACATTTCATTCCATAAGGACAGACTCACCCCCTTCATACAACTGGACAAGGAGAGCTGCGGGGGCAAACGGAAAGGAAACTACAGGCCGATCTCACTAACACAGAGGCCAACACCCTAAGTACAATAAAAGGAATCAGAAGCGCAGACGCGCTTTTCCTCTGAAATGTTTGGTTTCTTTCTTTTCTTTTTCGTTTTGTTCTCCTGTGATAGGGACTTGTTTCCTTTGTGTGCACAATAAAAACAAATATGGGCATGTGCAAAAAAGAAAACAGGACGTACGGGATCTTGAATTTAGACAGTTGGATATTAGGAATTCTATTCAAGTAATTCATCATTTTAACCGATTACAAGGAAATATTTATGATCATTAATCTCTTTTGAGTCCAAAAGGGCAATGGACAAAATTCAAACCCCATTATTTATCAAGAGAAAGGAAAAGAATAAAGATATTAGCAAACTAGGAACACGATGGTACTTCCTTCACTTGAGGACCTGAATTATCAAACAGGAACACAAAGCCAGGGTAGGGACAGACAGGTCAGCGGTACAGAGGCGGCGCATGAGTGCACAGGAACCCAGGATGTGAGAGCAACAGATGTTGGATGAATGGACTCATCAACATTAGATCCTTACCTCACTCAGCATATAAAAATAAATTCCAAGTGGACTGAAACACTAAAGGTAAACAAACAAAAGCATTATTAAAAAAAACACAGAGTTTCAATATGGGATGATGAGAAAGTTCTAGAGATGGATGGTGGGGTGGTGATGGTTTCACAACAATGTGAATGTACTTAATACTATTGAACTGTAAGCCAAAAAAAGGCTAAAGTGGTAAATTGTATGTATGTACATACGTATGTACAGTTTACCAAAATTTTAAAAGTAAAACATAAAAAAAACCAAAAACGTAAAAAGGTTATACTCTTGCAATGCAAAGAGCTTTAAGACACAACACCTTGGAACCGCAAAGGAAATGATTTGAAGATTTTACTGTATAAAAATTTTTAATGTCTGTGTGATAAAAGATCCAGAAACAAAAGTTAAAAGACAAGCACTTAATGCTTCAATAGAAGAAAAAAAGAAAAAAAAAGAGAAGCAATTGATTGGAAGAAAGTATATGCAACTTTTACAATAGATAAAGGAGTGACACGTGAATATATAAAGCTGCTATAAAATTAACAGACACGGAATATGACAGGGAAGTCATAAAAGACACAACAACCTCATAAGTTATCAGGAAAATGCACACGGAAAAAATTTTCCTTTGGACCCATCAAATTAACAGAATTAAGAATACTGATACCCACAATTGACAAAGGTGTAGGAAAACAGGTATTCCCATCACTGTGGTTTGAACTGTAGACCAGCAAATCCTTCTGAAGGCCAATCAGGCAGCAGGTGCCAGATGGTAGATGCGTGCACCCTCCACTTACTGGCCTCCAGCCTGCAGAAATCTCCCAGAGGCATACAAATCATGACGGGTAAGTTCACTGTACCATTATTTACAATATCAAAAAATAAAACTCAACCCAACTCTACCTTACAGGACATGGCAAAACCTGCTTTTGTGCCACTCCCCCTGAATACAGGCAGCCGCGGGCAAGACAGGCAGGTTGCTATGTAACCAACAGGGAAACATGTCACAGTGTTCTGTAAACAAAGGCTAGTTACACAAGTTCATATTCTGTGATCCCATTTTTGTCGAAAAGGAGAAAATATTTTGTATAGAAACAACAATCTAAAAGGATGCATATCAAGCTACTAACAGTTGATACCATCTCTGAGAATGGTATCATGAGCAATTTTCACTTTCTAAGTTGTAATATTTCTGTAATGTTTGAATTATTGAAAATAAGCATAATCACTTTTATAATGGAATAAATAATGAATAAAGTAAAGAAGTGAAAGGGAGGGGTGGCTATGATCCCAACGAAGGCCGGGAAGCAATCTTGTGCAGAATAGCCTCTGGTCCAGGTGGGAACTGCCCCCTGCCCATGGTCCCCAGCCCTCAGCTCCAGGCAGGTTGGTGGTGATGCCAGGACCAGGGCCAGCCTTCAGCCACGGCAGCCTGCACAGCACCCTCCCACACAGGAGGCCTTGGCTGAGACAGTGGGTGCTGAAGGAAAGCACACCCCATACTGGACACAAACCACTGTTTTAACCTCTCATCTCTGGGGAGCTCTCTGATCACCACACCAGATCAGGAACGCTTTACGTGCAAAATTGTAATGAAAATCAGATCAGCTGAGAAACTGATGGTGACTCCCGGCTAAGAGCTATGAAAACCCAGTGGTGCCCTAAAAGGGTGGCAGTGGGTGCCAAGGCCTGGAAGGGCACAGTGCCATGACCTATGCATGATGAGACCGAGGGGAGGAGAAAGGGATGGAGAGGGAAAGGAAACAAAAACACTATGCAGCAGGTACTGCGACACACCTGACACTACACACTGAAGCCTCACAACACCGCAGTGAGTGGGTAGGAAAGGAGGCTCAGGGGTCCATGACTTGCTCAAAGGCCCAAAGCTACAAACCCCAAGTCTGGATCTGAACCTGGTCTGCCTACAGGCCCAGAGCGTGGAAAGCTCCCCACACTGCAGCCTGCATCCTCCGTCTTTATGGCAACTCACCTGTGAACTGGAGGACAGTGCCTGGGCCGTGGGCTCCTCGGACAGGGCTGCTCCTGGCCCCATGGGGCTCAGCGTGGTGATTCGGCTTGGCTGCCCACGTAGGGTCAGGGTAATGGTGGTGGGGACCTTCAAGCCTGAGAGCAAGAGTGGTAGGTATTTTGTCACATCCCCACCCTCCTTTTGGGGGACCTTCTGCCCCACCTAACAGCCCTCTCAGCCTCCCGCCTCGGCCTCCTCCCCAGCTGGGTCATCTACACCCTCTCAGTCAGTCTGAAAGGCAACAGGAAACAGCCTGCGTTATCTCAACATCTCTGGGGATGCACCCCCACAGCCTGAGGGTCAATGCCAGGACCCTGTGGGGGGGGGGGGGCTCAACAGCACACCTTGCCCATGTGAGATGGGAAGGTCCTGGGGGAAGGTCCCACACTGGGAGTCCCTGCGGCTCTCAGGACAGACTCACCTGATGCTTGGTTAGAGATCTGAGCCAGGCCAGGGAGGCTGCCTGCCAGCTTGGCGAGGCCCCCATTGGTCAGCAGCTGGTGGATGGCTGTGGGCTTCCCACTGGGAGTGGCACCCAAGGAGGACAGAGTGGTGGCCACAGGAATGGTACGGACAAGGGTGCTGGTGCCCGTGGTGATGGCACTCAGGCTCTGCATAGGGGTGGGTAACTTCACACTGGTGGCCTAGGGGACACAAGCCCAGGTGATCAGCAGCTGCTGCCCACCAGCCACATCGCATGTGGAGGGCCCACAGCACGTGATCAAAGGCTTCCTGTACCAAGGGCCCACCACATGCAACAGACTTTCTTCCAGGTATTTTCCATGTACTATCTCATTTAATCCTCAAAACAACTCAGTGACAGACAATTATCCTCATTTTACAGACAAGAAAACAAAGATACAGAGAGGTCAAGAAACTGGCCCAGTGTCACACAGTAAGTGACGGAGCCCTAACCTTTGATAGCTCCCAGCTGGGAAGTCAGAGGCTGTCTGTCTGTCCTTGACCCAGGCTCCAGACAGGCCCAGTTTCCCTGCCCAAACCTACCAAGTGAGGGCCTCCCCTGACAACCCCTGCCCACCCGGTGAAGGCCGGTGTGCACCTGTGGGGTTGGCCCTGGGGAGGGGTTTCCTGGGAGGCCAGACGTCTTGCTGCTGATATCCTGCAAGCTGAAGCTGAGGCCTTGGAGGAGGCTGCTGGCTGACGAGGCCCCTAGAGAGGATGTGCCAGACATGAGCACAATGCAAGCACTTTTCCCAAGAGCAGCCATGCCTGTCCACCCTCGACAGCCAAGCAAACGCCGTGCCCTTTCCCTCAGACACTCCAGTGTTTGCGGATGGTGCCAGCAAGGGCTCCCCGGCATGCAGGCTGGGTGCCCACGAGGGCTCTGCGGCAACACGGTCCTCGATCCCTTCTGCATGCCCCGGCCTGCTCCAAAGCACTTGCCCTACATTCTGGACAGTTTTAGGGAAATCAAAAGCACCTGAATCCCACTTTTCAGAACTCTAAATTCCCTCACTTCTTTCCAGGGAAGAGGAAGGACTTTTTAAGGCAAAAGAATTCCAGTCCCTGCCTTACACTTCACCTTGCACCCAGCCCAGGGGCCTCAGAGCAGAGTGGGGTCCTCCTATAGGAGGAGGGCGGTAACAGTGCCTTGGCCTGCCAGGTGCAGGCCTCCAGCCTCCCAGGGTTGGGTGGGGGTGAAGGCAGAAATGTCTCGTGTGCTAAGGCCCACTATCACGTGTCTCCGACTTTATTCCATCAGACGTGTTGAAAACACCAAAGGAAACACAGTACCTACATCTCCTACCGGCTCTCTCTCCTCCTTATAGTACGGGACACACTGCCTGCACACTGGGATGTCCATTCACTGTACGTATTAAGGCCACAACCACCCCAACTCCTGCCCGCCCAAAGCAAATTCCAGCCTCATGTCAAGCTTCCCTGAGAAGCCTGAGCCCCCAAGGAGTGTCCTCCAGATTCCACTCCAGTGACACCTTCCCAGGACCACCCACCAGCAGCAGCCCAGACTCTGCCGGGAGGCGGGGATGCTGGGCCCCCATATACCTGGGAGGGAGCTGCCAGAAGAGGTGGCCACCAGGCGGTTTTGGAGTGTGTGCAGGCCACTGGGCGCAGTGCTGCTGGGGACCACGGAGGGGGCCGGGCTGGCTGAGATACCCGCTTCAGAAGCACTGGGCCTGCATACAAAGATAGGAGCTCATTACCCAGAGGTAGGGGTGGCAGGCCCTGGCAACACAGGGAGGTCCAGGGTGGGGCCCAGCAAGGCTTCAGCAATGGACACGCCAGAACCTTTGGTCTGCTCACCCCACCTCCAGAGCCCAGCCTCTAGTCTTTCCAAAAGCCAGGCCTAAAGTACAGGTTTCAGGCCTTGACGCAAAAGCTAGGGATGCTCTGCAAACCCTAGGGACAGATGAACTCTGAGTTGAAGACACAGATCCCACTCCAAAAGAAGTCACATTCCCCAAACTGACAGGATCCAGAATCCACCATCTTCCCAGGCACTAAGTGGACCAGAAAAAGCGTGATGAGAAGGAAGGGACAGAGCCCGACAGACCAATGGTGGACGCACTTGCTTGTGGTGAGAAGCCCCGTGAGCTCCTTGGCCCCTGCTGACGCCTGCCCCAGTGTCATGGTGACGGGCCTCCCTCCCGCAGCTGCAAAACAAAACCCCAAGGCCACTGGTCAGTCCCACTTGGCCTACCTTTCAGGGTCCACAGCCGGGCAAATGCAAGATATTATGGACAAAGACTGGAAAGAGCAGGGGTGGGGGTGGGGTGGGGGGTTATATTTTCCTTCTATTTTCTAAACTTTCTAGAATATTTTATTATCTTTAACAGAAACCAAAACAAAACCCCAAAACATACAGTGCTTTGAATGGCCCCCGAGATTCCTCTGGTCCTCATCCTGCCTCCCTAATCCCCGTCCACATCAGGTCATGCCCGCCTTCCCCACAGCCACTCAAGCCCTCTGCTCCAAGCACCTTTTGCACTGAAGCAGCCCTAAGGGCAACACTAGCACCCTGGGACAGGAGAGCTCAGGCAACGTTTTCTAGAATAGGCCAGGAAACTAACCTTCTGGGGCTCCTCCTGGGGAAGGCGTATAAGGTCCTCCAGCCAGGTCCCCTTGGGAGACAAGGGACACCTTGATCTTGGGTCTCTTGGAGGTCTTACTGCCAGGAAGAGGACTGGAGGGCTGGTGTCGCTTCAGCTGGACCTTGAGGTCCTCTTTCTCTGCTTCCTCCGTTTGTTCTGATGAAATGGGAACTAAGAGATGGAGCTGGGGTGAGGTCCTCCACAACCCAAAAAAGCCCGCCAGACCCACATGTGTGTGGGGACACACAGGAGAAGCAGCCACGCCCGGAGTCACACTCCAAAGATGAGGGCCACTGTGTTGTCAGTCCCACCTCGCCCCTCTCAGGGAATGGCGCCGCTTCTACCCCTCACCCTGTTCGGAAGGAAGGGGCTCTGAGTCGTGGGAACAAAAAGAAGACACGTGACCCTGCCTAGCAGCGGCCAACCCAAACACAGAGGCTCCTGCAGCAGATCTAAGCAGCACTTCCCAGGCTCACTGAATGAGATCATTGCCTGTTGTGAGCCCTCCCCAACCCCACACAGCTGGAGGGTGGAAAGTTCCAGGGAATCGCAATGAGGAGCAGGCCGCCCAGTCCTCTTACATGGGGACCTTCACAGGGCTCCGAGTCCCCGAGGGTGGAGGCAGTGAGAAGGACTGCCACCGGGACTTCAGGCTGGCTTTGAGGAGCTCCTAGGTAGGGGAGCATCTCAGTCAAGACACCAGTATAGCTCCTGCCCAAAAATAACAGGGTAACAGCGGCCCATGTTACCACCTGGTCCCCCGGTCACCTGTACTAGTACAGAGGAAGGCCCCCTGCTCACACGTGGGCTTTCCCCTCCCCTGAATCAGACTCATCCTGTGCATGGCCAGGCCTCCTGGACTCAGGCCATCCTTGAGCTTCCTTGTACATCCCCTCTTCTTTAAACCCAGAAGGCCCCCTAACCCCTGCCCAGTCCCCCTCCTCAGCACAGGCAATCGGGTGGGGGCAGCAGTCACATGAGGGTGGGGGCTGGCATGGGCACAGGGAGCTACCCCAGACCACAACGGGGTATAACCATCAGGAAGGCTTGCTTAGGGGGAAGAGGTATTGGATGCAATCAGGGACAAAGGAGGGAAAGGAGTTCCAGTTTTAGTTTTATGCTGTTAAGTAGCTGGTGGGCTTGCAGCGGTCAGGATGGAGGGAGGAGACCAGAGGCAGGCAGAGAAACACGCAAGGGAACCCAGGCTCACAGGCAATGGCCACAGGCACACACGGGAAAAGCAGAGCAAAGAACCACAGCAAGAGACAAAAAGAGAGACACCACGGGAGACAAACAGAAAGACAGGAGAAAAAGCAAAGACTGGAGCGACCCAAAAGAGTCAGAAAAGAAATCAGAAGATAGAAAAAGGCCGAGAGAAAAGGTTAGGAGGACACCAAACAGGGACAAGCGAGAGGCCGGGTCGGGGAGAGGCACAGGGAGAAGGTGAGAAAGCGATACTCACCGAAGAGACAGGAGGAGGTGCCGGGAGGAAGAGCTTTCCTCACCAGCATATTTTGTTTCAGAAAAGCAGCAAACTGTGCTGGAATGAATCAGAAAGAATTACAGAATGACAGCCAGCCAGAGAAAGAAGAAAACGAGAGGGAGTAAGATAAAGATAGGAAAATGTTCCAGAAAATGGTCAACAGGGGCTTTTCCTGGTACTACTGCATGTGTCTGCAGCTCCATGAAGTCACCTACAAGGTGACAATACTAGATGCACCTGCCTGGTGGGGCCCTTGCCACCAAGGTCCATGGAGCCACAGGTAGGTGGCAGGAGAGGGGGTGGCACCGCGTGCGGGCTCTGGAAACATTCTTCGTCATCAGCACCTTGGCCTATGAGCTCGGCCAACGCCAGGAGCTATAGCTGCTGCTCTCTCCCCATGACACTATGGGTCCCATCTCAAACCCACATCACCAACTAGCCTTTCAGGACTCCTTAGATTCACAACCAATTATCTCTCCGTTAGCACCACAGAACACTAAAAGCCTGAGGGGACACCAATGTCCACCCAGAACCTGGCTCTGGTCACCACTTCACCAGGTCCAGGTCACAGAGCATTCACGTGGGCCCTGGGGTCTGGCCTCTTTCTTGCTTCATTGATCACTCACACTTCTGCTCCTTGTCAGCACCACTCTTAAGGGCCACCTCTTAAGAGGCCTGGGTTCATGTCCTGACCCTTCAGCTTCTCTACAGGAAACACAGGAAGCAGGCAAGCAGATCAGCCTCCTGTCACCTCCGTGTCCTTCTCCCTGACACTCAGATGACATGCCTCTGGACACCTCAGCCAACACCAATGCTGAGGCCTCACCTCAGGGCCACCCTACTGGATCAAACTGAGGCCAGGGTGGCGCCACTGTTTCTCTCCCCCCATGAACCCTCTTTCCTATCGCTTCTTACGAAGCACTCACTGACCGCCCAACTCTAATCCCAACCAAATACTTCCCAGCCTAATCTATAATCCAGCTGCAGAGGCCCCTGTGAACCTCCCTGGAGCCCCAGTGTGGACATCTTAACTCTTCAAGGGCAAACAGAGAAAGCAGGAGGCCGGCTGAGTCACCCTAGAACCGGGAATCAGCCAAGGACCTGCCAACATGACCTGCAGGGGGTGCTGGGCAGGACCCGGACAGAAGCTGTCACTACCCTGGTTGGGAGCTGGATCAAAAATTGAGGCCAGTATACATGTAGTCAGCACACCAAGCCCAAGTGCCCAGAACGCCAAGACAGAGCCATCAGCAGTGGGATGATGCAGCCCAACTAACGCACAGACCTCTTGTGATGTGTCACCCTAGAAACAGCCCTTGATACTCACGTCGACCTAATTTTGCCTGGACAGAATGTGGGAAAGGTGCCTCCCACACGCCTCTGGAAAAAGTTGGAGACCAACACTTCCCAATAGCCACAGGACGTCAACCACGGAGGACAGGGCCCGAGAAGAGGCCACTGGGCCAGGCTCCAATACCTTGGGCTTGTTTGTGGGTCAGCACAGCTTCCGTCCGCTGTACGTGTCTCTTCAGCAGCTGAGCGCTCCCCATCTGACTGGACTTCTGGGCAGCGGCCACTGTGGTCGCTTTGGTCTTGGGACTAGAGGTGGGGCTGCTGGACACACTGGAGAGATCCTGAGAAGTGGGAAGGACAAGGGCTGAGCCGATGTTGTCTGGGTTTGACCACCAAGTGGCATGTCCCCTGGTCAGGAATTCTCCCCCTGGGAACTCACAGGCCTACAGCACTGGCCAGGTGCACAGGTGTTCCCAGGAAGCGAAGGCACCAATTCCGTGGTCCTGGTTCCCCAGCACAAGTACCCCCTCCCTGCCACATTACCTCTGAGCCTGAGGGGGAGGCAGGCAGCCTGGCGGCCGGCGAGGCAGGTCGACTGCCCCGCTCGGGGACCTCAAAGGCCAGATCTCTGCGGGCCATGTCCCGGGGCTTCTTCTTCTTCTCAGCATCCTGGTCCCGAGGCTCAGCACCCACATGCCCCTCAGAGCGAGTGAGCACACCAGTAAGGAAGTCCACGATCTCATCCTGGTATAAAGAAGGGCTGAAGCCTGAGTCCCCATATAGAGAACAGGAATCTTCCCGACAGTTTCAACTAAAGCTGATTCACCTTGGCTTTGGCGTCAGAGGGGCAAGTCTCTCCCCTCGTGCCCCCAAAGCCTGGCACGAACCTCAGCCTCGACCCGAGGCCAGCAGGAGCCTCTGTAAGGTAGCACCCGGGGCCGTGTTCCACCACACCCCCAACAACCTGTTCTTCCGATGCTCTGCCCCCTTCTTAGCTCATTCCTCTCCTCTTCCCTTCTCTCTCTCTCCCCGCCTTCACTGCTTATGATTCAGGGTTACCAGAGGCCCTGAGACATCCCCTTCCCGTTTGGAGCCAAGAGGCTGCTGCCAACAGGACCAAGTCTAAAAAGGCTCCATGAAGGAAGCCTCACCGAGAAAACACACAAAGCACTCGTGTACCTGGATACACCTGTCCACCATGCTCTGAGTCAAGCCTTCTGACTTCTTCTTTGCTTTGCTTATTCTAGGAGACAAAACGGAGTCAGCGTTCACTATTGGAACACTGCATGGCACCACATGGAGACAAGGATGGATCTCTCTTCTGTGTCGGTTGTTTACTAGGCTCAGGAAGGAGGACTACGTTAGTCCTCAGGCAGGTAGCGCAACCTCTCTGAACCTGTTTCCACATCTGCAAAATGGGGACTCATAACACCTTCCTCATGGAGTTGGGGGATTGTAGACTCCAGAAGTCCCAGGGCTATGGCTTCACAGACTGAAGTCCCCCAGCATAGGCCCAGACCCCGAGATTCCTGTGTGCTGCTGAAACGAGATTCATAGGACAGCAACAAAGGTGGCCAAAGGCTAGTTCTGAAGGGATAAGAGAAATGCCTACAGCTGGCACCACTGCCCTCTTTGAGAACCTGCCTTCTGACCGGGGGATGTCAGCAGAGAGGGAACAGGGCACCATGTGACAGCGTGGAGAACGTCCAGAGCCTCCAAATTCTGAGACCCCAATGTACTGGTTACTGGTCTCTGACCTTGTGTAACAACCCATTTTATGGATGAGGACAGTGAGTCCCAGAAGGTAAGTGATTTACCTGAGCTTCTCAGCCAAAGACCAGGGCTAAATGGAGGTTCCTGTTTCCAGACCAGTGCTCTTGGCACCATGCCAACCTGTCTCCTAAGCAGCCTCAGAGTGGCATTCTCACTGTCCCTGTCCCTCCTGCTCTGTCCCCATGCAGGTGAGAACGTCTGAACAGCATGAGAGGTAATACACTTACAAGAACACATGGCCCTGAACATCCAAGGATTAGCTTCCAGGCCCACAAGAAGCTGTCAAACGACCAAGACCAGAAGGACTTCTCCCAAACGCCTCTGGGTAAGAAACCCCCAGACAGGTGTGAGCAGGTACGTGCTTTAAGCTTCTAGTTAAAGCACACGAATGACTGAATCTCTAAGGGTGCACATATCAGAAAAGGAGGCCTGATACATGAAACAAACTCTTTTTCAGTACACTGCATGAAAACGGAACTGAAGGCCCCACAGGCAGCTGTGGCCGGCTCAGTGACTCAGGGGCCTTTGTAAAACCCCTCCCAAACTCTGGCTGTTTATATTCCAAAATATATAAAAGGTGCTTGATACAAATACGATCTGTGTTCACATTCATCCTCAGTAGGAACAAAAATATAAGAAATGCCTACCCCAGTGAAACCATGATGACAAAGACTATATTTACAGGGTCTCAAAGTATCTTCTACCCACAAGACAACTACTAATTACAAAGGGAAAACAATAACTTTATGGTGGAGAAACCTGGCAGGTGCCACCTTAACCGATGATCAAGGTCAACATCACCAGTGATAAGATGGGTCAATGTCAGGTATCCTGCAAGGGTGCACGCAGGGCACCTTGCCTCTGTGACATTCCTGCTACAAACGTTATCCTCCACCTGATCATAAGAAAATGTCAAAAACCTAAATTGGGGGACAGTCTACAAAATAACTGGCCAGAAGTCTTCTTCAAAAGTGTCAAGGTCATGGAAGACAACGATGGACTGAGGGACGGTATCAAATTAATGGAGGCGGAGAAGACATAGCACCAACAGCAACGGACTAAATTTGTTGTAGATTAGACAATAGTATCATATCAGTGTTCATTTCCTGACTGAGAATTACACATTGGTTAACATTCGGGAAATATGGGTGAAAGGTATACAGGAATTGTTTGTACTAGTTTTGCAATATTTTATAATTCTGAATTAGTTAAAAATGTAAACAAAAGATTTTTAACACTCCTTTTCAGGTTTAGCCTCACAGGCATCTCTACAGCATGGCTCTCTCACAGCCCTGGGGGGCCCACCCACCTGAGATTATCGTCGGCTCCCCCAACCACTACCAAGCTGTTCTCAGCCCGAATCTTCTCCCGGAAGTCCTCCATGGCTTCAGGGTGACACTGCAGGGAATTCTGACCAATGACAAAGAGGACTGGAGTCTTCATATCCAAGAGGGGGTCATCCACATCCTAAAACATGCACAGATTCATGATTGGCTGAGTGTTAGCTGCCAGGCCAGTCGGCTCAGGGCAGTCAGCTAGGCCGCTGCAGTCCCTGTACGCCAGCCCGGGCGAGGCATGCACTCTATACGCTCACTGCCCAGCTACCAGCGGCGCCCATGCTTACCCCTCTGGGGCCATCCACAGTGAGCAGAGGGAACCCAAGGCACACAACCGCAGTGACGTACTCCATCACCGAAACCTAGACATGATAGAATAGTCTGTCTCAAGGTGAACTGCTTCATCCTACCCTGAACCCAGCGAGTGCCATCTCCTCCTCCCGTCCTAACCCCCAGGAGAGCCATGCATGGCGGCAGCGGTAAGGCCACAGCACACAGACGGGCCGTTCTACAAGTGGCCGCCACCTGGAGAACTGGGCCTGGACAGGGTGGCAGCTCTCACATTTCCATCCCAACTCCAGGCCAGGGGCCTCCCGCTCGCCTTCTCCTCCACATACAGCAAATGCAACCAGAACACAAATGCTGCTTTCTCCCTAAGTGAAGAAATCTCTCCCTTCTAAACTTAATGGGTAGCTCCCAGACATCCCAAATTTCTTAGACCAGTAACTGACGGAGTCCTGCTATCCTGGGACCAGGGTTATGAGGAAGTGGCCTTCTGTCTCATGGCCGAGACATCATACTGACCAGGCCACAAGAAGCAGCACAGACTTCACTGACTGTTCGTGTGAGAACCAGGGCTCTGGACAGGTCAGGGGCCCTTACGCAAAATAACATATGCACAAATGTGTGGAAAATAATAAAGAAAAGGTTCCTTGATGTCTCGGAAAGGGACAGGACAGCAAATTCTAGAGCTAGTAAAAATTTTGCCTGCTGAAATTATTGTTTTGGTTTTTTTAGGTGGGAGAACAGTACTTATGTTTGAGGGGGAAAGGGAATTTTTTTTCCATAGCTACATGTTGAAAACATATACATGAAATGATATAGTAGTTGGGATTTTCTTCGAACTATCTACAGAGAGAGAAAGTGGGCAGGGGTAAGATGAAAACGGCCTGGCTGTGAGTTGATCACTGGTAAAGCCGGGTGAGGGCCTAAGGGCTTTTTTACACTATTCTGTGCCCCATGTAAGTTTGTTTCATCCTCTAGCATTTATAATGTAATCATGTAGGTCAGCAGCTAGCACAGTGCCTGCAGAGAAGAGGAGGGACTCCAACAGTGGCTCTCACAGCAGTATTCTATCCTGGGACAACCTCCAAGGAAGTGGGCATGACTTACGTGACAGGCCACCAGAGCGCCTGTATTCCAGCCAATCAGAATCACGGGCTTGTGGGGGAAGTGGCTGTGAATCTTTATGGGAGAGAGAGAAAACAGTAAGCCAAGAGGCCGCCGCTGGCTGCAGAGCCAGCCCAGAAGCTGGGGTGCCGCGTGAACGCCCGCAGGGGCTCTTACCTCCAGCACCTTGCTTCGCACGGCCCCGATCATGTGCTCGAGACACTGCAGAACCCCAACGCCGCTTCCACTGCTCAGCAGGTGGGTGGCGATGGGGATGACCTGACGGAAGGAAGCGGCAGCCACGCCAGCAGAGGTAAGTTTCAAGTCTTCTCTCAGACCTGCTAACTACCCTAAACCTTCAACGGGGGTAAGCACCCTTCAAATTCTGAACAAAACCGGAGCTGGGGAAGCTCCACCTCTACGCTCATCCACTCGGACCCCCTCTGCACTGTCTGCCCAGCCCCCCAAGATGACATGTCCACCCAGGACAGAGTTCCTCTGGTCCCCACACATGCCTTGCCCAAGCAGGACAGCTGAGACTGCCAGAAGCGGTGGCGGCGTGAGGTGGGGAACACGGAGCTGGAGGGCCCGGAGGAGGCGATGAGGATGAGCGGAGAGCCCGGGAGCTTGCTCTGTGGAGAAGGAGCCCGCCTGAGAATGGGAGTGAGGTGTCCCTCCACGAGACCCCAAGTGTCCCCAGGCCTTCCCATCCCAACCAGTGCTGCTCTGCTTATGAAACTATGTTAAGATTGTAACAACTAGTTATTAAAGCCACCTATCCCTCTCCTGCCAAAGTTCTCAGGCCAGATTCTAGGCTCCATGGGCCACGGTTAAGTCCTGAGCCGCCCAACTCACCGGTTTGTTGTGAGAAAGCACCCCCACTGCAGGGTCCCAGGGCCTCTTCAGCAGGAGGGACAAGGCCTCAGCCCCTGCAGCCCCGGTCTTCGTGTTGGACGACACAAGCATCCGGTCAATCAAGGTAGGGATCTAGAAGCCAGGAGGAACAAAGGGGCTTCCAGTGCGAAGCAGGAGACCTGCCCACCAGCAGCAACCAGGCAGGAGCAGAGCCCCACTGTGAGCAGACAGACTTCAGCTAGGCCTTCACACCTCCCTCGGAAGCAGCAATACTGACAAGTGGGTGGCTGAAAGGTGAGCCTCCATCACTAAAGGTAAATGGGTACCATTCTTTGGAAAGATATCTGGTGATAGGCATCAAGAAACTCCCTTCCTCAAAAGGATCCTACTTCTGAGAACCCTTCCTAACAAAATATATCAGAAACACACACGCACGGCAGGCAGTTCAGGAAAAGACAAATTCACTTTCAATAACAATCAAAACATGGAAACAACCTAAATGCATATGTAAGAGAGTGGGTTAAGCAAATTATCTACATGATTAGTTATTAATGGTTAATTTTAAATGTTTTTAAAAATTTGTAATAATGTAGGGAAATAATTTTGCTAAAATGTTAAAGGTGAAACAAAATATAAAAATTATCTCTACTCAGGAAAAAAATATTGATATGCCAAAATGTTAATAGTGATCTTTATGGAATCATGGCCAACAGACACGTGAAAAGATGCTCAACGTCACTAATCCTCAGGGAAATGCAAATTAAAACCACAGTGAGATACCACCTCACATCTGTCAGGATAGCTGTTGTCACTAATTCAACAAATAACAAGTATTAGTGAGGATGTGGAGGAAAGGGAGCCCTCGTGCGCTGATGGGATGCAAATTGGTGCAGCCACTATGGAATGTGGAGGGTCCACAGAAAAATTAAAAATAGAATGACCTTATGACCCCGCAGTTCCACTCAGGATATTTATCTGAAGAAATTAAAAAAATTAGCACCCTTATATTCACTGCAGCATTATTCACAATAGCCAAGATATGGAAACAACCTATGTGTCCATCAATAGATGATTGGATAAAGATGTGGTACATAATGAATGGGTTGTCGGAAAAGTCATGACGTACTTTTTCTATGTTTTTTGTTGCAAAAATGTGTCATGACTTTTTGGACAACCCAATAGATATATACAATGGGCTTATTACTTGGCCACAGAAAAGAATGAAATCTTACCATTTGCGACAACATGGATGGACCTAGAGGGTATTATGCTAAGTGAAATAAGTCAGACAGAGAAAGACAAATGCCATATGATTTTACTTAGATGTGAAATCTGAAGAACAAAATAAACAAAACTGAAACAGACTCATAGACACAAAGAACAAACTGATGGCTGCCAGATAGGAGGGGCGTTGGGGGGTAGGTGAAAAAAGTGAAGGGATTAAGAAATACAAATTGATTGTTACAAAATAGTAGTTGGGATATAAAGTACAGCATAAGGAATATAGTCAATAAGATGGTAATAACTATGTATGGTGTTAGGGGGTACTAGACTAATAGGGGGATTACTTCGTAAGTATATAAATGCCTAACCACTATGTTGTACACCTGAAACTAATATAATATTGTAGGTCAACTGTAGTTTAAAAATAATAAAAAATAGTTAACAAAAACACAGAAGGCCTGAAGTCGGGGTTCGAGTAAGGAAGGAGGACCGAAGACCAGGTCAAGGCCAGGGCCAAACTGCACAGGATCTCCACCGCAAACTGGCCATTTCTTTGTAACTTACTCTACAACTCTTAAGCCCCTCACCACCTTGAGGCAGAGGATATGATCTGACTACCGTATTTGCCGGCGTATAAGACGATTTTTTGGCCCTGAAAAATATGCCTCCAAGTGGGGGGTCATCTTATACGCCAGGTACACTTCAGATAGACTGCCCATAGTGCTTGCCCCGTGCCATAGTGGCCTCCCGATGCCCGCCCACTTCATTCCACATACCGTTCAGGCATCAGCAGCGCTGCTGGGTGTATGCTCGGCTGTTATGCGATTTTGCTGTTATGCGATTTTGCTGTTATGCGATTTTACCACACTCCCAAAATCGCACACAGCCGACCATACACCCAGTATGATAGCGCAAAATCGCGAATCGCGATTTATGTATATGTTTGATTACATACAGCCTTGTGACAGTTTTCCTGCATGTCATAAGCATTTGAATATAAATATAAATGTTGAAATCAAATCTGATATTGTTTTACCTTTTATTTGGTGTGTGGAAGGTGTGCGGAAGAGGGGGTAGTCTTATACGGCGAGTATATAACAAACTCTGTATTTTGAGTGGAAATGTTAGGGGGTCGTCTTATACGCCGAGTCGTCTTATACGCCGGCAAATACTGTAGACTCTAACAGCTTTTATTCAGGAGTAGAGTACACCTGTGAAAGGACAAAGCCTTGAAACTCACGTTCTGTCAATGTAGAAGACTTAGAAATGATTAATCAGTAGCCCACTTCTGTGCTGGGAGCTTGGCTGACAGAGCTTCCCTGTCTTTCCAGCACTGCTTCTCTCAGCAGCCAGTGAAGAGGCTGGGTCTATACCTTCTCTGCTCTCTTCACAGCGGACCTAATGGAGAGGGTCCAGGCCAAGAACAGGAGCCCATCCCCTGTATTTTCATCCAGCAAGTACGTGAAAAGCTGTGGGAAACAACCAAAGTACTTTTGTGACTCTGAGTCACGGGACAGTGAGAGTCTCTCGGTGTGCTCTCCGCCATTCCTGCTAACCCACACTATGACCCGGCAGCATGACTGGGCAGCTGCCACTGTGCACACCTGAGAAGCCCCCACAGACGTCTGTGACGCTAGTGAAACTTGGATGCCACCTCGTTCGCTTGGGAACGTCCAGGCAGTAACTTAAATGAGGAAGCAGGGCAGACTTCCTTACGAGGGAACTACATAGCAGTCCTGGGGCTGTGCGAAGGAGTCACTAGAGAAGTGGGACTCTGGGCGCTACCGCATGCACCTGTGTGTACCTCTCCCACGGGGACAGTTAAAATGCTTGAAACACTCTCTGCCAGGGTGCTGTCTTGGCCCCACACCCCACTATGCCCAGGCCCACCTGCCATTCACCTCCTGGGCGCAGGACTCTGCTGTGGAGGACAGGGGACATCTGGGGCTGTCTTTCTCCAACAGAAAATAGGCTCCATTAGAGTAGGGGGGCATTTCCGTTCTGCTCACCCCAGTGCCTGGCACATTACAGGCACAAAATAAATTATCTGTTGAATAAATAATGTCAAATTTCCTACCATGCATACACATCATTCATGTATCTAGTCCTGAGTTTTGTTTTATTTGTGCACTGAACCAGTCTTCTTTTGCTTTCAAACAAACTCAACATCCTTTAACTGAAAAACAGGTGGGAAACAATGAGTCTGAAAATTGTGGGGATATGGCTGGGGGAAGCTGTTGGCCAGGGAAACTACAGCAACAAAATAGGCCAGCTTCCTGGAAAGGAGAAGAAAAACTTGAAGAAAAAAAAAGGGGTGGGGGGGCTGGCCGACTGGCTCGTTGGTTAAGAGTTGGCTTGGAAGCGTGAGCTCTGAGCAGCAGGGC